AAGCAGCAAACAGGTCTGACATCAAGACGTACGGCAAAAAGCGGTTACAATTAAATTTCGGTCCTAAATATAATTTTTCATGGAGTTTCATCATAGCGGACGTCCTCGTTCCTATAATCGGCATTGATTTTCTGCAATTCCACAAAATACTGGTAGACGTCAGAAATAGGTAACTTGTCCTTGCCGATCACAGCAAGGAAATCAGAGGAATTATATCAAATGAGACTTCCATACATTTATTAGTCAAACCTCATCACGAGAACGACAAATACGTCAATTTGCTTAATCAGTTTCCAGACTTATTACGACGGAGTTTCAAACACGACAAACCGACGCATACCGTCGTACAGCACATAAAGACAGAAGGTCCACCAGTGTCCGCACGTCCGTTCGTTCGCCATATGCAGTACTCAAAATCTGGTCGCCCTCAACACCCACAGCAGACATCTGGCACCCCTGTAGCAGCAGCGAACCGTGGCATACCTGGCCCTAAAAACTCAGAACAAGTGTACTCTAAGTGACATCACTCAGGCTGCAAACTTGGATCGCATGACAACTCATGGTCGTTCGGCCCTGGGGAAGCTTAACAAAGTGCCTTACCTGATTCCTATTTCACTCCGTGGGTCAATACCCCAGACTTCTCTCTTATCGCCTTCATTTCTGTCAGCTGTTGGATATCTCCTCTTGATAATATATCCGACGGGACGTTTATCAGCACCAGTGACATCAGGAGATTCTGATCCTGTTTGCGATTATTCGGTTACCTGTCAAACATCACATTCATCATCAGCTGGTGTTTCGAGTGTATCGCAACAACGGTCAACTGATTCATCAGAATCTAACCGTATAAAACCGTCTAAACCTTCAGCAGAGCAAGCACCATTCAAAGTACCTGCAATAAACAATAATTCACGTCAAAATTTAGCAGCAGCATAAACTACAACGAGGTCAGGAAGAAGAGTACACTGGCCAGATAGGGATGTAGCAACCACCACATTTATCTAGACCAAATCCTGAGACTACTCTTATAACACATCAAAATCCTACTTTATTTTGATTACTATTTTTTTATTGGCTCCACGGATCATCATTATGCTTACATTTTAACGTTATACAATTCATTAATGCTAAATATACACTTGTATATACATGGTATGAAACGTTTCAACACACAAGCTGTTATTACAGTTTGACGCCTACTCATCAGATTGAGTTGTACTTTTATTTTAAAAACAGTTCCGTTCTTTATCTCTTTGTCGAACATAGATGTTAATCCAGTTCTTTTTGGTACATAAAAACATCAATGTTCTGGATGGGAGCTTATGTGGCAGGCCCATTTGGCCACTGTATCATTTGTATATTCATTTTAACTCAGACATTTAATTCATCATGTTAATTTCGGTGGGTATGATCGAATGCATGTTTGTACATTAACCCTTAAGCTATCCTCCTATTGGTTGCAATGTGCAGATAATCGATAATTTATCCACAGTCAATTAACTCTCAAAAATATATATGGATTTTTAACACACACTCACTTTGTTTCATCGTGTGCTTGCTGACTGTATGCTTGTGGATTTTTATTAGTCATTAACAATAAATTATCTCTACAACTGGTGTTCAGGCTTCTCAATAATCTCGAGTAAATCCGTAATTCTACTAGGAGATTAAGCCTACCTTAAATACTCAGTTTACGGGATATTATTTATTGGAGTCAGATATTGAGGACGTTAGCCTCAACATATTAGTTAGCCGCTGTTTCAAAAACTGTATTTAGAATTCGAAATCAAACATTCAAAGGAATCATTAGTTCATCTAAACATCACACATTTACAGACATATTTCAGTTCACATATATTTGTCTTTTTTCAGTCATTAACCAGTTACAGTCCACTTTCACCAGACATATCAGTTTCCTGCTTGTTGAAACTTGTTATTTAATTGTGTTTTCAACAGACTGAAAAATAAGTGGGTGAGGACAGACTTTTAGTCGATCTAATGATAAAGAACTGAACATTGTTTATTCAAACACCACAGATTAAATTGGAGTCTAGGTGTCTGTAATTGATTGTACGTCTTCTTCTAAAGTTCATCTTGTTTCTGTCCGACACTGTAATGGATAAAGTCTCCGTGCTATCTAAAATGTGTTCATTAGCATCAGAATTAACAGACCCACCTGATTCCTGGGATTGTGTAATAAGCATGTCGGTTGTGTACTGAAACCTCTGCTACCTAGAATTTGAACCATAGACTTTTAGACTACACTCCCCCATGAAATAATGTTGGATCTTTATATCCCCAAGTTATGAATAATGTGGCTTCATTTAAAACATATTTCTCACATTGGTTAGAGTAAACATTAGAAGTGTTTTTGTGATAAGGATAAACGGCAGTTGATATGAAATCATCCGAATCGTAATCAAAATCGAGCTCATTTAGTACTTGTGCTTCTCATTGAACAAGTTTCCCACAAGGAACAAATGCATTATGAGGACAAATAATATTTTATATGACATCAATATTTGACTCTTCGGAAACAGTTTCCTCAAATTTATTAAGAGTGTCATTGCAGAGTCAAGGATCATCAGAAAAATCAGCATCTATCAACAGTACATCAGGTTTTCGGTCATGACTAGGTTTATTCGACATATTTTCCTCAGATTTTCAAGGAATCTCGTCAGAAATAAGTGAGTCATTAGGAAAAAGCCATATCTGGTACAATAACATGATAAATCTGATAAGCTGATTGACTAGAGACCGGTTTGGCATTTCTGAATTTTCCCAGGGATGCCGTGCTCTCGTAGTCATTCGAAGACGAGTTTTAGATGCTGGAGATGAGATTCTCTGTTCGGACACGCGATCAAACAGTTATCAACATACTCATGTACGAAGTTGGAACTTCGAAAAGCGTCAACGAATAAACTCTGGAATGTTTGTACAGCATTTCTTAAACCGAAGGGCATGCGGAAAAACTCGTAGAGACCGAAAGGTGTGATGAAAGCGATTTTCATGAATGTCATCAGCAGCCATGGGACTTTGGCTATATGCTTTAACCAAGTCGATTTTCGAAAAAAACAGTTGTACCTTTCAAGGTAGCTGTCGTGAATGTGAGACAACGGGTAACGATCGGGAATAGTTTCGCGTTCAATCGCCGATAGTCACCAGTTGGACGCCAGCAGTTGCTGTCCGTTTTAGGGACCATATTCAAGGGAGATGCCCATGGGCTGTTTGGCGACCAAATGTGGCGATCGCTTTCCCAATCACCACCTGTAAGTCGAAAACTGCTTCAAGAAGTGGGTCGTTAGAGTTCTCAGGAAGAACGCTGACATCTGCGCAAGTAACAACGGGGTAGCAAACTTTCTTCATCCCATTGTTTACGTATAACAGACGGCTATTCCGCCGGCTACCGTGGCCGTTGACACGTGCCGGTCGGTTGGGGGTTTTCTGTAACTTCAAAAATTTCCGCGCTAATTATGCTACCGGCACCAATCAGGTTTATCTGTCGCTCGTGATCTAAAGACAGATCGTTTTCGTGAAGTACTCCTTTGGGGAGTTTGGGATCGTCTACCCTCATGACGAGTACTAAAGTAACTTGTCAGAGTATGACAGAGTTTTCTGACAAAATTGTTTGTTAGTCTGAAGAAACTTCGGCGTTAGAAGTTCTGGTTACCTTCAGGATTCGGTTGGCAGATACAACCAGCTCGTCCACAACATTATGTCGAAATGAGACAAGAACTGCCTGCATCTGTTGAGGAAGCTTAGACAAGAAAATTTATATAAACAGGCCATTGTCAAAGGTCGGTTGGCTACTGGCCTCTCTCATTCGTGACACGTCTGATTCTAATCCATGTTGTAGATCGATGTTATTGATGGGTCGGCCTTACTTTTGTCGATCAGCTAGATCTCCGCGTTTGAGAATAGCTCGTTTTAGAGTTTCGTAAGTTTTCAGTATATCACTAGTACACGTACTAGGTGTGACGTACATTTTGAACTCGCGTGGTAGTGCCTTTACTAAGTCGGGGAATCGTGCACGTGGATCGATCACGCTGTGCTCGTACAAGTCAGCTTCTGCGTAGCAGAACCAAACTTCGATGTTATCTGTCAAGAATGGCATTAGTTAGAATGAAAGTGGCGTAAGAGACTTGATCGTATGTAACCTAGGGGTCTGTATGGTCATGATGAATATAGAGCATAGCAGTGAAGAAGAAAAATTTCAAAAATACTAGACAATATATCAAAGTACATAAAAACCAAAGTGAAAATGATATATAAAGTCCCAACAGGGAATAAATTCACAGCTTTCAAATTGATGTACCAGCTCACGTTGGGCTCACTATTAAAAATGCTTCAATTATCCGGAGTTCGAAGACACCTTAACCAGTAACACCTCTTATAATCGAAATACACCAACCCAGTCAAATAAAAATTCGGAAGCGAAGATGTCCGAAGATACATTTGATAAGCTGTCGATATATAGAGAAGTGGTCAATCTAAGCTGGCTGGTGGTCGTAGGAGATGTGTAGTACGACGTACCCACTCGTGATCTGATGCGGACACGTGACCGAGCGCCTTCAGTTAGGTGAGTCCATTAAAACTGATGTGGTCAGCATCAAATGTCGAAGACTTACAGAGTCATTTATTTTGGGGATTTATTTACCGCTAAAGACATATTGCTTTAGTTTACTCATGCATTGATGGCTACATCAGCTTTTTATAAGCATTTTAAAACAATATAAAGTCACTCGTAGCGTGTTTATAATTAAAACTTATATAGATCCTCCATGCACCAGCTTCTTTCTTTCGTATTCTTCCATTGGAATATTGACCTCCCTTGACAAAATAATAATCCATACCAAAAAATCATAAAAGATGCTGTGACTTTATAATACTGATTTGTGATCGAAATTAGTTTTCTCCTCTATATTGTTTGCGCACCGAATTGACTTAATCAGTTGCGAGTTGGAAGTTTCGGTTTCGTGGTGTCTGAGGTCTATTTTCGAATGGCAGGTTGCCCTGCACAAGTGCTGCAGATTGAGCCGAAGTGTGAACTGGTATTTGAAGGTAGTTATTATAGTCTGTCATTTAAGATGATTTGCTTTCTGTGAAGTTTTAACGTAGTCCTCGATATCCATATAGTAGGGGATCAGGTGTTGTATGCTAATACATACAATTCGTATTATTTAGTTATCCGATCTCTGTGTAAAGATATCAAAATGGGTCTATTTATTCTTGGTTTCTGGACATTACAAACTGCTCTCAGAAACATGTGAGAGAAACAAAACTGAGAGTAGGGTTGGAGTTTTCATGATATTTTTGAAATACCATCATCCAACTTGAAGTTAACACATGAAATACATAAAATCATATTCCTTCCCCTCAGATGGGACGAAAGGGTCCCTTTATAACTGTACTTAATATCGTTTAAGTCCGTTATATCATGTTGAATTTATACATAGTATTTCCATTGCTTGTAAATACGTCTTAGTATCAAACGTGACTAATTAGGAGATAAGCAAAACTAAATTGGTTTGGACCACGACTACTACTTAAAAACCATCTTAACTAAGGTATGTGACCGCAAATGGCATCCATCTTACTGACCCCATCCAGGAGTTCTGCCATTGCCTACACAATCCGAATCAGCGCTTAGTGATTCCATGGAGTGGCATTTTAATCAGGTCATCTCTCACGTTCTCCCAATTTACCGTGATACAGCACATTGGTAGCTGTTCTTGAGTCACAACTATTTGGGATGATAAGCGTCCATGGCTTCACTGATCGGTTCATACGTGGTATTTTCCGCTTACAGCATCCACTAGACAGTTGCACTGTACACAATCAATCATCTGAAGATATTAGTGTTCAAAGACTAGCCCCACATCGATGCCTGCTACCTTTATAGTATTTTTCACAATTTTAAGTAATGGAAGTAATTGGGAATATTTTCAGTGACGTGGGATTTGACTCCAGTTGGATTGTATGAATATTGTTGAAATACATATGTCGTCTATCCTCGTATATGTAATCAACTTAATCCACGTTATGTGATATTGACATTAATGTGTTAATGAGACTATGATAATTATTTGAATCAGAATGGAACAATCCTCTGGATGGATCAATTAGAAGAGTTGATATGAGGACAAGTTATCGATAAGATAATACGATTTGAGTATGTCCATGTCGTGTTGCACAGGCTATGCTGAGTGCGTCGGATTAGAGATTGAGCTGGCTTCGATGAATGGGTAACATTGGAGATTCAGTCATTTGAGTTTCTCGTCGATTAAGTTGGCCACTTAGTTTGTCCACGGGACACTTAGAGTTCTATATGTTCACCGTCTGCGCAGATTTGCAAGGCACGTATAGTTGGAAAACGGGCTCACCACTTTAGTGTCCCTAGACCTGACTCCAGTTAGATCTAGGGTTAGTAAATGTTCGTAGCTTTGAAAGAGGACTTTGGTGGTAGTCAAGGTGGTTACCGATGATTTCGAGTGTGAAAGCTGCACTACTGAACTATTCACCTCAGAGGACAACACCAAGTGATGCAATACATTCCGCTTCGTAGTAAATTAGCTCTATGTAGGCTGGCGAACATTTCGTTTGTGGAGCAAGTAGAGTTGGAAAAAGTCAAGCGACCTTTTAGTACGAGTCCCATGGTTTTTCCAACTACCATCTTACCTGGGCTAAGACTTCTCATGTAGATGCTGTGATTAATATGCTTCCTACAGTCTAACCAGACTGATATGGACTTATTCTTAATCAACATTTTTAACTTGTAGCGAGTGATTGACATCCTAAAAACTTTTGAAGTGTTATTCAGGTTGTTCATAGTCACTCGTCCATTCTCTGGAACAAATACTCCTAACACGTTTTTGATCAAAAACCCGTAATTTCAACGTACTTATATTCCTGGCTTTCTGATAGCCTTTCTAAATTCTTTTTATCATATCCCTTCATGCCTTATAGACATATTTGGCTTAATATTGTATGCGGTTACCAGTAGTAATTCCTACTATTGCTTGGATTTCGGTTCGGGTATCCCAGGAATACATGCATCACTTTTCATCGCTGCTTCAGATTCACCAAAAAAGCAAATCTGTACAGACACTTTTAAAAAACTTCGTAGAGTTTTCTAGTATTTTCTAATTCTAATTTAATCAAGCCGTGGTGTTGTGGTTTTAGCTTTTGGGATCAAAAGGTCACTTTAGTTTGGGCGACCGGGTAGTGTCATCAGTGCTCCTCAGAAGTGTGGTCGAAAGCTGAATACGTAAACCTGTTCCTGGCCAATGAGTTGTGTTGAAATTTATATTCATGTTTTTGGTGTCTGAATCTCACAACTCTCCAGTGTCCCAACCAATCTGGCTACAAGGTAAACGTGTCTTTTGTAGCGGTATCCGAAGCCTTAAACGTATTTCCCATTGACTCGGTATCCAATTTTTGACTCAGAAATCGCTTTGGTCTTTTTCTCATCAACAACTCATTCCAATTGTGTATTTTTTTCCTGTCGAAATTCTTAATATCATTTATGTGGCTTCTGTGTAGGTCCTTTCGTCGATGTAGTAACTTCTTATATCAAATTGACAAATCCTTTGGACCGAGCCGTTGGGTTTAAGATCAAGACAACAGTGCCGAAATGTTATTGTGTAAAACCAAGCAACGGATATATAGAACCTCATCAAACTGTAGAAGTTGCAGGTTTGTTCTGTGCTTGTATCTGGGGTAAATATTTATTTTTTAGTAATGCTCCAGCCGTTCAGTTACAATGCCGCAGAAAAATTTAATCATAAGTTCATGATTCAGTCTATCATTGCTCCTGATGATCCTCGTCCTGCCATGGAGCAGTTGGTATGTAATTAGCCAGAACTTAAGTATTTATTTCCTAAGTGGAAGGATGCACCTCTTAGCAAGCTCATGGATTCACGGCTCTTTTGTCTTTTGCGTTTGCCTGATGAGCTTCATGTTGAACCTAGCCGGGATTTAGTCTTCGAAGGTTATTTTCTTTGTTTTTATGTAATAACTCAGCTAGGTCCTTTTGTGAGACCTGTTACATCTATTGTGAAACTGACCAACCCTTCTTCACAGTTCGTTTGCTTCAAGATTAGCGCATCGTCCCCAGATCACTTTTTTGCCACCCCCAGTACAGGTGTTATGTATCCCCATGAAAATTTGGAGGTCTCAGGTATGATACATTTTTTCGTTACGATATTGTATAGTTGTGTTTCATCCCGATGATTTCGACTTTACAGCAAAAAATCGTGAGAGAATGTTAATTCAATCTGCCGTTTCTGCGGAAGAAGCAGATCCCAAAAAAGATCAAACAGTAGGTTTATTTTAAAAAAATTAAGACAATAGGCTTTGATTAAAGAAGGAAAGGTGACGGATTATTACCTAAAATGTGTGTTCAAAAACACAGGCATTGTAAGTTAGTTTCTGTTCTATTCTAAATATTTAGGTGGAAAGGATAGAAGCTAGCAAACAACAAACTGCGTCTTCTGTAAGTGAAAAACTTACTAACGCACATTTTTAGAAACCTGTACATGATACTGGTGCGACCCAGACGGATATCGAAAAGTTAATGGCTGAAATATCTGCTCTTCGCCAAGAAAATGCTGCACTGAAGGTAATATTATGTCCTGTAGTAAATATAAATCTGAAATTTTTTTGTTTTCCTAAATACGATGTTTGGAAACAGGCTTAGTAAGTATCACTTTGCAAACAATTTTCATAAACTTCAGAGTAGTCGAATTACCTTACAAACATTCAGTTGTTTAATTCAGCTACCGTTTACCACCATACACCTTGGTATCCCATTGTTATTTAGTTGTGTCAAGGCATAGTTTTTATGGCGTATTTTTTTAAATTTCGAGACACCAGGCACATCTAATGATTTGGCTGTTCGCTTACGACGAATAAACAGAAAATTCCCCAGGCTTTTACATGTTACGGAATGTTATTTCATCCTAATTACTCCATTTATTTATTTATTTCAACACAAACGTCGGTACAAGAAGACACCAAATATACATGCTCCACACTTCGTCATTTGATTTGCGTGAGAGCTGGACTACTACCCGAGCGCCCAAACCAAGGCAGGTAGTTTTCTTATGGAGCTACTTGTGTTTGCTCTTGTCCTGGTATCATGGCCAACTAATCTAAAATTAAGCTAGGATTAAGGCATAATTTATCCAATCCATCACGAAGTATCACCTAGTATATTGGTTCAAATTGTCATACCTCATTAGCAAAGAGAAATAAAAACGTCATACCAAATCCCAGAATGGTAAAGGTAGTAACAGTACCAGTGGTAATAGGAAAGATTAAATATTAAAGTCACGACTCGAAAGGAAAATATAAATTAATAAAATAAAAACTAAAGGTTACGGAGAATTTAGAATTTGGGGAAAGACAACGAATGGATGCACCTGCGCCATCGCAAACGATTTTGAGCCATATCATTCAAAGTCTTTAAGCACTAGTCACGATAATCACGCTGACCCCAACCAGATAGTGTATACCTGTTGACATTGCGAAGTCCAGTTGTCAATGGACTGATGTTATGTTTTGGTTTGGTGACTTCTAGCTTTTTTCAGCCCACTCCCATATCAAATAAAATTGCTTGTCAAGGTAAGGATTGCGATCGATGAAATCTAATCTAAAAACACTTATGTGTTAAATTGAACAGATCTCTACTTTTTTGTATGACTAAGGCATTTCATCGTTCTTTATCTTGTGGAAAAACCTGGTGGATTTGCACTAATGGATTCTCTTGTACTCATCCCATCAGGCTCTGAACATGATGAAGAGCGAAAGCAAATCAGATCTAGGTTAACCAAAAGTCTAAGGAACGACCGTGAGCAGTGGTGGGCAACGAAAGCAAAAGAGATGGAAAAGGCGGCGGCTATAGGTAACACAAGACAGCTCTTCAGACTAATAAAAGAAACTGGAATTAATAAGTCAAGTGTAAGTCAGACTATCTTGGAAAAAGATGACACTTATCTGTTCTCAGCCCAGACGTTTAGAACGATGCGCGGAACAGTTTAGCTGGCCTTCAGGTAATCGACAACTACCCACCATTCCCAGACAGCGTGAATGGATAATTAAAGTAGCTCCCCCGACTCTAGTTGAAGTTCAAAAACCTATAGCTAATCTGAAACGAGGAAGGGCAACTGGTCCAGATGGATTGGCTCAAGAGGTCCTTAAGTATTGTGGTCGAATTTTAGCGATCAGGTTGGTCAATGTTTTAGCTAGAATCTGGGAGTTGGACGTAGTCTCATCTGACTGGTTACAATCACTTATTGTCCCGATACATAAGAATGGGTCAAAATCATCCTGTGACAAACATAGAGGGATTAGTTCGACTAATATAGCATCTAAAATACTAGCCTCAATAATTATCGGGCACCTAACTAAGACTCATGAACTGCAAACACGTGAAAATTAGGCTGGCTTCAGACCTGGTCGTGGCTGCATTGACCACCTATTCACCATTCGTCAGGTTCTCGAACGCAGGCATGCTTATCGGCATCCGACAATGGTGGTCTTTTTTGACTTAAAAGCAGCATTTGACCGAGAGATTCTGTGGCAGTGTCTGTCATTGAAAAGCATACCTCAGGAGAAGACGCTGACAAAATGCAGAATCTTTTGGTAGCACTAAGCAGCAATGCCAGGATGTTTGGAATGCGCTTCTCTCCCTCTAAATGCAAGTTGTTGCTTCAGGACTGGTCTGCGTTAACACCTGAACTAAGGATAGGGAGTGAAGTAGTCGAACGCGTTGACAACTTCACTTATCTTAGAAGTCTGATCAGCCCTAATGGTTTGGTATCGGACGAAATCTCAGCACGGATTCGAAAAGCTCGTTTGGCTTTTGCCAACTTACGTCACCTTTGGCGAAGGCGAGATATCCGTCTATCAATAAAAGGACGAGTATACTGCGCGGCAGTCCGTTCTGTTTTAATTTACGGCAGCGAAACATGGCCATTAAGAGTAGAAGACACTCGTAAGCTATTAGTATTTGACCACAGATGCCTTAGAAATATTGCTGGCATCTGCTGGGATCACCGGGTAAGTAATAGTGACGTTAGACGCAGGGTATTAGGGAATGATGGTAAATCAGTTGATGAGGTTATGAATCTTCATCGACTGAGATGGTTGGGCCACGTGTTACATATGCCTGAACACCGATTACCACGACGTGCAATGCTATCCGGTATTGGAGATGGTTGGAAGAAAGTTAGGGGCGGCCAAACCAAAACGTGGCATCAGTGCTTGAAGTTACCAACTTCTAGTCTTAGTCATGTTGGTAGATGCAGACTACTTGGTTGGGGTCTGCGTGACTATCGTAACCAATGGTTGGAGACTCTTGGTGACATGGCTCAAAATCGATTACAATGGCTTAGGTGTATACACTCCCTGTCGTCCCTTAAACGATGATATTAAAAATGCTTCATATCTTTCTTTCTGTACTATATCCTTATATGCAATCTTTCTATTATACATTGCTACCATTAGAGTAACTACTTCTATAAACTAGATGTCCATCCTGTCGTGTTAATGAGTTATGGCTACTTGAACTGATGCATTTATGTACCTGGTTCTACATTGTAGCCGACTGACGGAACTGGATTATTCCGTTTGGTCCGAGTGGAAAGTAACTTTTCCACAGTGTTCAACCAATGAGAAATTTCTTTTCTCTATATATCGTAAATCTCTATGCTTCAGACAAATTGTGGTAAGAAATTATGAATTGGATGCTGTTACTAGTTAAAAATGCTTTAACGTGTAAAGCCATTAAGTCTCTGAAGAGGTATGGCCTTCATACAATTATCAAATATCAGAAAAATTCTAATATGAATAATTTGCCTAATAATTAATTAAGTTAAAACTCTTGACTCGGTACTTGAGCACTCATCTGTACAATTTATTTAAAACAGTGAAACCATCATCTACCATCTCTTTTCGTGTTAACTTATTCGAGGGCTTTTTAATGAGCTAAATTGAATGGATTGTTACAAACCCCATTACCTAACCATACATATCATAAATAACAAACCCTAAAGATAATTCATGTTTATATCCGATTGGATCAATTTTTCTCCGGTGTTATGGTTTACTTAATTTGATAACATAATATGACTAAGGTAGTAGAAGTAGTTTGTGTTGTAGTAGATTTTAAATGATGAAACCATTAATCGACGACTGACTGAGTATTTAAATATATGTTAGAAAACTGAAACAATTATTATTCATTTATAAAGTATCCAGTCGAAATACTTAACATACAACAAATGAATGATCAAACTGGAAAATAAAGGTCACAAGACACGAAAAGACAATTGACTCTTGCCCCACTGCAACAATTTTATTCTGATGTTATACTAAAGACAGTTAATCATCAACGCTTCTTTTACTAGTTGATCGCTTTGCCTTCAAAAACAGTTTGACAAAGATGTATATCTCAATTACTTTTATATGGAGTCCAGTATTATTGCTATGTTTTCAGCTTGTCACTTCCGAATTATATCCAAACTAATACACAGCAGTTTTCAACTGAAAATAAACAAAGGTATGACTGGAATAACATACATGTCTAGTTTATATTAGGGTTTTTTGTTGTCTTGATTTATTTGCATATTTCATATTTATTGTGTATATATACTCATAGTTACAAATTATCTTGTATGAAATCGTCTGTGTTGACTTCTGTACGGAGACTATCATCCGGTATCTTGTAGACATAATTTCGTATAGATCTTCATATACTTCAAATGAATAAGTAAATGAAGTTACCAAATTAAGTCTGATTATTGTTTTTACTGACATCCTTAAGTTGATTATCTGGTTAATGATAATAAGTTTAATATAATGTTACACTAGTCCAAATGAATGTAATTATTCTTGATCTGTGAATGTCCTATGGTTTCGTGAAGGCGGGAGACAGCATGTGTAGATAAATTAACAGCTAGTTGATTATTTAGTTTTTAACTCATAACTTTGTCTCATGGTGTAGCTTCATAGAAAAGGTATTATAACTTATTTAAATTCATCTTTTGTTACCTGAAACATATAGAGTAGTAGTGTGACAACAAATGTCTTGATTTTTTAAAAGCATCTATTATTATTTATTTATTTTCCAATTCATGGTTTGTAACTGTTCATAGGAATCGGATCTCCATTTACGACGTACAGCAGCTATCTCAGATACATGTCGAATGCCTACCGAATCCGGTGCTGGATCAATGCCTACCAGTGGAAGCCGTCATCATAATCAAGCCAGAGCTGATACTTTTAGTAACATCCCACCGATTTTATATTTAATCACAGCTTTAATCATTGGTCTCTTTGTGGGTCGCTTTGTTCTGTAAATGATCTGCAAACTTACAACTATAGTTATGCTGAGTCGCTGATAATAGTAATAATTCTTATCATTATCATTGCGTGAAATTTTTTCAAAATCCGTTCATATGCTTTCTCAGACATCTCTTTTTTTTTTCTCAGTTTGTATGTGCGTTTGTGTTTATCTTTGCTATTATACATTTCTGTATTGACAAAAGATTAATACTATTTGTTCTAGTTAGTTGTTCAATATTTTATTTAACACTCTTCATGCTAAAAACTATTCCAACAAACTTTCATAAAAGTTTTCAAATGAATTATAATACTCATCGAGACATGTGTAAACTTAAAAAAGGTGGATACTTGTTTTGATTTGCTTTCAGATAATTACACTTTTTGTTGTTGTTGTTGTTTTTTTTCTTCTTCTGTGGTTAAATAGAAAACCGAATAATATATTATGTATTAAAAGTGAAAAACAAAAAGGGTAATTAATCATGTTATTAAAGGGTATGTTTATATCACTAAATTTCTTATATTTATTGTGATGTGTTGTGTATTTGTATGTATCTTGCTTCACTGTTCCAATTAATTAGTTATTAAATCTGAGGTGTAATATCCTGCAAATGCCCGATCTCTTCAAGTGAACCACTTTTTGTGTAAATTTTATTTCTTATTGTTCATATGGATCAGGTGACTTGGGGGTGGGCGGCACGACTGCATTTTATTCCTTGAGTTTCAGACCCGCATCATACGTAGGTCATTTGGTTCGAATTTGTTATATCCTATTGAGGATTAAATTACGAGTAACTTCTTAGACCTAATAATGGGCTAATATTATCTATATATTTTTATTCTATAACTATTCAGTAATTAGATTATGTATATCTATATTCCTCTTATTATAAGCTTCGTTTTGACCTATAGATTATTATTGTACGATTTACTGTCCCTATGTTATACTCAGTTTATTAATTACTGTCTCCCACGTTCACAGCTACTTTTTGGCTTATTTGTGTATGAATGTTACTTCCTAAATTATGGTGCGATGAGATCTGTTCAGCTGGTATATAAACCAAGTATGTTTGTAATAGATGATTCGCATAGTAGGAGCTGTTAATGGTGTTCTGGAGTCAACTGGACGGGCTTAGCGAACAAAACATCAATAAGGACGCTAGGCTGCTTATACCGGTCGAACTTCATTTTGATTGATAAGTATGATTAACGGTTTATTTATTTACGTCTATATTCACTAATTGATATAATCTTGTCACTTCCTGATTGATCCTTTAAGCTTCATTATGGGTTCGAACTATTCATACTTGTAAGGATGCCTTAGCTTTTTGGTTTTTCTATACAACTAGTCTGGTGAACAGTTATCCGGTTAAATTAAACTAAGTAGAGTGATTAATAATTTAAATTTAAACTCATCAAAGCTAAGTATGCTAGAACTCCCGTAGAACTGCCAAAAGAACAATTATGCAAAGATTTTTAAAAAAAAAAACTTCAAAGTTCATCCACAACTCATATAATGTGGGATTGAATCAGTTCGAAATTAAAGGTTCATCACTTAGATTCATTCTAATGGTACATATTGAATAGAAATGATATTTAGGCTCTGAGAATTAATTTAACAATTCATGAGACTTTTATGTCATGGTATACTTTTATTATTACCAAATTTCTAGTCGAATATTTTTTATTTTATCTCTACATAAAACGATTATTTTTCACACATTAATTACATATTTCCTTGAGTATAATTATTTAAAAGTTGAATTCGACTCGGGTGACAAACACACCAGAGTTTATCTAAAATTAAAGTACTAACAACAACGTGAATAGGCGGTTGTATCACCAAGTTGAGAGGATTTCTGCTATTCTCTGTTCTCTATAAATGATTAATTCCACTTTTCAAAATTTATTTATTATTTTCTAACTGAATTGTATGTTGGTTTTAATTTCTTATATCTTTTAATTGTAATTACTTACTTACTTGCGCCTGTTACTCCTCGTGAAGGAACATAGGCCGCTCACCAGCATTCGCCATCTAACCCTGTCCTGGGCAATCCTTTCCAGCTCCTTCCAGCTGTTATTCATCCTTTTCATATCTGCTTTTATTTCCCGATGTAATGTGTTCTTTGGCCTTCCTCTTTTCCGCCTTCCTTCAGGATTCCAAGTTAGGCCTTGTCTCGTGATGCAGTTTGACGATTTGCGTAGTGTATGTCCTATCCATTTCCATTGTCTTTTCCTAATTTCCTTTTCATCTGGAAGCTGGTTTGTTCTCTCCCACAAAAGGCTGTTGCTGATGGTATCCGGCCAATGGATGTGAGTATCTTGCGTAGACAGCTATTTAAATACTTGCACCTTCTTGATGATGGTTGTTGTAGTTCTGCAAGTTTCAGCTCCATACAGTAGAACTGCCTTGACATTCGTTTTGAAGATTCTCACTTTGATATTGGTTAAAAGTTGTTTTGAGTTCCATATGTTCTTCAACTGTAAGAATGCTCTCCTTGCTTTGCCAATTGTAATTACTTGATAATAATCATCAAATGCTCTCACAAATTTTAGAATTCAGTATTCAGTGGTAGTCATTCTTTATTGTTTAGAGCTGTTATATGTCCATTGTTTGATATACTTAACATGTAGAGCAGAAACTAGTTTAATGAAGTAGAATTAATGTTAGTGATTTCGTGCAGCTTGTATGTTTCATCATACTTAAATATGTAATTGGTTTTCCGAGTTTTGCTAATTATAAGAAGCTGTCAAATTTTCGGGTGGGACCCGAAAAAAATAACGGGGTTTAAGATTCAGTATTTTCTCGGTAGGAAGACTGAAATGTCGACATTGGAGGCAAGATATATTGTGTAATGTTTTGGACTTCCAGTCCAGTTACAGATAAACAACAAATCAACTGTCTAATAACTGATAATTTATTAACTATGACATCATCTGTATAGTAATATTGTGTAGAAATTTTCATGCTATTTGCATATAATTTGCGATCGCGTAAAAAGTGTGAGTAATCACATTGTCCAGTTGTTCTCGGAATTATGCTCAATGGCTGAGTTTAAATTTTTAAAAGCTTTCGAGTGGTAATAAGTCGTGAACTGTAGTTTGTATCACATAATAAAATTAACAGTAATGTTGAATGCTTACAAAATAGTATTTCGTGGAGACTACTATTACTAACTGGAAAGCGTTAATGATATTTATCATCTTATCGATTTAGTCAACCTTATAAAAATAAAACGAAAGATGGCCCCCGGGTGAATGGGAATGATCAAAGTTCATATAAACACACTTCTATGTCGATGGTCTAGGTAGCACGAGCGTTTGTACAAACTTCTTTTAAATTTAAAGATTAGGTTTGTGAAAGTGGATCCCGATGGCTTTAGTAATATACGAAAGATGAGCTCATGAACCGTGTTGTAACTTTAATAGAAAATGGCGGATAACCTAAAAACTTCATTCAGGTCAACTTGACATTTTTTTGTCCATTAATTGGATAAGAATAGAACACTAAAACTCTTGACTGCCCTCTACGCAACCAAAATGAATACCATTCCGCTATGCGATGATGGACTTTCCGAACTGTACGCCTTAACTGGCTCCACAGGAGCAATCGAATTGATAGATACACTTGGATGTGGCGGATTCAGACTACAGGTTTTTATTGGTGGCTTTCACCAAACGATCGTAGAAAACCGGACTCAGTTTAGCATTAGTAAATATTTCCTGCGCTGCATTTCCTAACCTTTGAGTTATTATTCACTCTAGTTCCATTTAAGATAGGTGGTTCCAAGAACAGTACTGTATGCAGAACGGTTATCAACATCGGTCTTGTTTTTGTATCCTACATGTGTTTGTTGATAAACTTCTCTGGATAACCATTCTTACTAAGCGGGTTGCGGACATTACCCAATTCATTTTCAAAAGCATCAAAATAAATCATTTTCGGACGGTTTAGGATTCTGTTGTGACTCTAAGCCCCCGGCTGGTTATCACGTGATTTATTCGCCAATCGAATTACGGCTTATTCAATCTTAGTACTGTGCTAAACCAATGACTTTCGACCGGTATGAGTGTCCTTATCGGTCTTTTGTTCGCGTAGCCCGCCCACAACAATAACAGGTCCCACTATAGAAATCATTTATTTCAAACATACTTGGTCTATATACCAGCCAAATAGACCTCATCACACCATAAAGTAGGAAATAACATTTATACAAGGTCAAACCAAAAAGTGGATGTGAACGTGGAAGACTAATCAATAATCTGAACATAACTTAAGAACAGTAAATAATATAACAATAATAATCTATAGATCAAAATGAAGCTTATAATCAGAGGAATATGCATATACATAACGTAGTTACTGAACAGTTATACAATAGGAAAATATATGTATAATATTAATCCACTAATGTTCAATAGGATATAAGAGATTCCCACTAAATTTCTTTAATATTTGATCGGTACAGTACTATATACATGAGTAGATTGTCCAATTGCAGATTTTCTATGTATCTCGAAACTGTTTTATTGCAGGTATAAGAATTAAAGTTTCTTTATGACTCTCTATCAGTACACTGCAAATAAAATACACAGTTTCCAGTATGGTAATGTTAGTAAGTAAAGGCGATACATCTGATGATATCAAAGTTATTTTTGACCAACAGATTTTCTACTACCAATAAATTCAAAGGAATGCTTGACACTATGCTTAACAATTTCTTTGTGCAACGCTTTGAGGATCTTTACTAACTATTTTTCCTAAGTATGATAAACTGAATTATTTATATCTAAAAAGGGTTGAATGGTTAAACCAGTGTTGTGTATTTTTAGAAGACCACATAGCCTTGATGTTATCGTCGCCGTAGATCTCAACATTCCGAACACTTCAAATAAAACGTTTAATGTTTCACTGAGTCAGCAAGTCGTTTCTAAATCGTATCTGCGAAATCATTCTTCACAACTCTACGACTAATCCTCCTCATTTATCTTTATCACCACACACCACCTATGATAA